TGCAAGAGGGAGGGAAAGATTGAAATCACCATCAGGCTTCCAAGATTTGGTAACTAAAGGTGCGTAGACATGAAGGCAGAGCAGAGAGCTTTGAAATTCTTCACTTTCATTTTCTTTCCAAAATCACCCTCCCTCTCCAATAAACTGATTTTATGCCATCAAATGATTTTCATTCCCTAGTGACCATATACACAAATTTTCTCCAAGATTTTCAATCCCTTATTTGTTCTTTCGCAAGTCCTAATGTTGGACTCAGTTCCAAAGAAATTGAGTTCACCCTCTTGATGCTGTCTGTCCCCTTTCCATTTTTCTCAGCATCAGAGCCATCAGCAGAGATCATGTGTCCAAAGTAGGATAAGTTGAACCTGGACCTTTGCTCCTCGTTGAGAATTCTGGGTTGATTCTTTTTATGATCCATTGGTTTGTTTTCTTGGTTGTCCACGGTATTCTCAGGGATCTTCTCCAACTGCAAATTCAAAGTGCCCGGTGTAGCTGAGAAACATCCCAATATCTTTTTTCCCTTTCAGATAATCGGCGCAGAACAAAGAGCAACGATGGGCAATCTAGTTTCAAAGGATTTTATAAGGAGAGAATTTGAGGATTTAAAGAGCGATTTGAACCAAGGCAATATCCCCAAAGTGGCATCTGAATACCAAAACCGTTTAAATGAAATGCAAAATCTGCCCCTGAATATCGCAGTTACTGGAAATGCCGGTACTGGGAAATCCTCCTTTGTCAATGCCTTCCGAGGAGTCAGGGATGATGATGAAGAGGCAGCCGAGGTAGGGCCAGGAAAAGAAACCATGGAGCCAAAGGCATATCCTCACCCTTCATTCCCTAATATAAAAATATGGGACCTTCCAGGGATCGGAACACTCAAGGTTAAGGCAGCAGAATATCTGAAGAAAGTCCAATTTGAAAGATATGATGTCTTTATTATGGTTATTTCTGACCGTTTTACGGAAAATGATGCTCTGCTGGCAAAGGAAATACAAAGAATGAGGAAGAAGTTTTACTATGTGTGTAGCAAAATAGATATCACTATCAACAATGAAATGAAGAAAAAGAATTTCAATGTGGAGACCACCTTGGCATCCATGAAGCAATATTGTGAAAGTCGCTTGAAAGAGGCAGCTGAGGTTTCCTCAAGAGTGTTTCTGGTATCCAGCCAGGAGGTATACATGTATGACTTCCCTCTCCTGCAAGAGACAATTGCTGTTGAACTTCCTGACCACAAGAAAGAGATTTTAACACTATCTGTACATATTTTCTCAGAAAAGGAATTGATGAAGAAAAAAGAGCTAATGAAATCCTATATAAAGAAGATAGCGCTGATATCTTGTGCTTGTGGAATCGTGCCTGTCCCGGGTATCTCGATGGCTTGTGATGTTGGAATTTTGATAAATGCTCTGAGTCGTTTCTGCAGGGTGTTTGGCTTAGATGACCGGTCCCTCCGTTTTCTGGCACTTCAGACGGGAAAAGAATTTGAAGATCTGAGGTCGGCTATCAAGAAAACCCCGTTAGCCAACGCAATCAATGAAGAATTGGTATTTTCTCTCTTGATGAGGTCATCCCTCTGGGTCACTGTGTCGCTTGTGGAAATGGTTCTTGATATTATACCAGTTATTGGGTCTCTGTTTGGTGGAGCGAGTTCATACGTTGTCACGTACCATTTTCTGAACAGCTTTCTTGAAGATGCCGTGGAAGATGCCCGAAATGTCCGTGAAAAATTTCTTCAGCAACCGGAATCCCAGGGAGTTTGATAAAACCTCCCCATTTCCCTTTTGAAGGAAACAGCCAAGCATTTCATCCAAATGAAGCTGGATGCAGGAAAATAATAATGAGCCTATTTTCATGTTTTTAAGAATTCTCTGATTGAAATATGTGCTTGATCACCCTGAGGGCAAAGATCACCCTTATCTGCTGGTATCTCTACGTGAATTCAGAAATTAAACATTTATTGCTTTGGTGTTGGGTACTTTTCTTTTCCTTTCATTTTCTTTCTTTTGTTTTTTTCTTTTTTACAATTTTAAAGAACAAAACAACAGCGAATTTGATACGAAACTGCATATTTCATAACCGTTTTTTAAAAATACCATGAGAACGTACTGTGCTTGAGGTATCTCATTCATGTTATACTCATTGTTAATTGAATAATTTCAATTATTATCTGTCTATCCACAAATCGTTTTTGGAAATATATCTCTTCTTTAAATAAAAATAAATTTTAAATAAACCTTTGATCGCAGGTTTTGGTTCATCAAATTAAAGGGACAATCACTAGAGAAGCTGCTAGAAACCACTGAATTCAACTGCAATTTATCCACTGTAACATTTGTCAACTCGTTTACAAAGTGAAGAACAAATACTTGATGGGGATGAGAACAAAGAGGTCTGGATGTCCCTTGGCTCAGAACAGGAGTGAGGTTAGGGGGAGGAATAAGCTCACATCATAAAGGTTCTTCTGAAGGGGGTGACTAGACAGCCATTTTCCAGAAAAGCTATAATGGGAGCCACAAAGCAGAAGAGAAAGGAAGTTAAATGGTCCTGGGTGCAAGAGGGAGGGAGGGAGGGAGGGAGGGAAGGTCCCACGAGGCTTCCAAGATCCAGTAACTAGAGTTTCCATTACTCTTGTGAAACCTGTTTTCTGGCCTGGACAACTGGACATGCCCAGCCCCAAATTGGCCAGATTCAATGAAGGGTTGGACAAACAGGTGGGTGAGAGTCCTGCCTGCCCGCTCCTCACCTTGCCTGTGATTTCTCAGCTGAGTTATTTTTCAACATGGGTTGAGTGGAATCTCCCAACCAAGCAGGAGGTGGACTTGCACGCATCTGGGGACTTAGAAGTGAGGGGGCTAGAGGTGGGACTTTCCCTGGCTCTTCTGAGAGATGCCCAGACCAAAGCTGCCTCCTGGGTGTGAGAAGGTCCTGCAGTTGGGTGGATTCAGCCACGTCCGTAAGAATCCTTCCAGCTGACCTGGAAAGTGGCAAATGAAAGGACCCAGTTATGGGCAAGGGGGTTTGTCAATATGGAAGCTGCAATGGGAGGATTCCCACTGCCAATGCAGAAAGCAACTGGCCTGGTAGTCTTTCATGTCCCACACTGGGTAGTGGGATTGACTTTTCAGGTTGCCACTTTAAGAACTTTTATGGGACTGTTGACATTCCAGGTTCCAGAGGAGAGGGAGGGAGGGCTTGGGGGTGGGAAGCCTGGTCCTCCCTCCTGGGTCACCAATGTTCCTGTTCAAATCAAAGCAGGGAAAGGTGGGAAGGTGCATCAACTGTCAGGGTTGCGGTGATTGTCCTAATTAAATCATGAGACTTGAGCCAAGCTTCAAAAGAATCCAAAAGATTTATTAGGGGCAACATGTCAGCACTGACGCATATGAAGCCTACTCTGCCACACGTAATTTATGGTCACCTGTGACCCTGTTTCTCTCCTCCCCCCTGGGGGTGTCATAAATCATTCTCCAATGAAGCGCATTCAAGGCCTGGGTGTCATACATCACATTCTCCAATGAAAGATTTTCGCGGGCAGAAGATCCAGTAGCCTAGGCTACAATCTTAGTAAGATAAGCATGGAATGTACTTCTGGTTAATTGCCGTATTGCTCCTTCAGATTTTTCCTCCCTCCTGCTTATCATCAATACAATTACATCCCATCCAGGTTGGCTGATGTATTTCTGCTCCAGATGTGCTAGACAGGCCTATGGAAAGCTATGGGAGATGAAGGTAGTTGAATGTTTGTTTCCTAACTGCTCCTTTGGGAGATTCTTTAGCTGACAGGTCTACAACATGGTCTACAACATGCCTGACTGGGTGGGATGGGTTGATGGAATGAGATGAAGATGATTCCATAGGTAACCTAGCCCCATGCCATGTAGGGCTTTAGAGGTCATAACCAATAACTTGAATGGCCCTGGAAACAATTTCACAAGGCTGCTATTGTGCCCTATCCAGACTGGCAATCCTCAATGACCAGGCTGAGCCTGAGGGGGGTGGAATGGGGGTCAAATGAGTCATCAGTCCCGAGTCCCTTCATGTCCACAATAGATCTAAGTCCAGCCCACCTTGAATTCCATTGAATCTTATCTACCACCAATTCGCTTTGACCTCTAG